TACTTTCTGATATCTCTAATAGGAGCTGAGATAATTAAGCTCAAACTTGACAGTCTAGGAGCCCTTTTATTACAGGTTTTACCGTATTTCTAGGTTCTGAATGATTTCCAAAAACTACATACCGTAGTTTCTCTAATAGACTACCATCTCATACGTGCACTTTGAGCTCAATTATCTCGCTTCCTATGTATGAGAGATATCCAAAAGTGATCAACTGATACAATGTTCGTTATATTATGATAAAAAATTTAACAGTTGATTACTTTTTAATATCTTTAACAGGAACCGAGATAAATTGGCTTAAAGTTGAAAATTAGGGGGCGCACCTATTACAGGTTTTACGGCAAATCTTTTTTTTTGAAATTTTGAATAAAATTTTTTTCGGTTTCATAAAAATTATACGAGCTCTAGAAAGGTTTAGTAATTTGTTAGGATTCCTACCTGATGTACCTAAATCCTTAGTTCATTTTTTACCCCAAAACCTTTGCTAAAAATCAGAAAACTTGCATTTTAAGATTTTTCAAAAATCCCTGTTTCAAAAACTTATCATTGATTCTTCCAAACGTTGGCCTAACTAATCGCAGTTCCTCTACATGTGGGTGACCCATCAGCTGATTTCTGACCTCATCTCTGACGGAAAAAGAGCCGGTTAAAAATCTACGTAATCCGAGATATTACCTTATCATCTAGCTTCCTGTCTCCTCGTGCCTCTCGTAATATCCGATTTCCTATTCCAAAAATAACAGACAGAAATGTTTTCCGGAAAAGCGAAAAAAGAACCAAAACTCTTCAGAAATTCTGGAGAAAAGAATGAAAAATGGGTAAAGAAGGAAACGACTTCTCTCATTACTTATTCATCGAAAAATTTTGCGAAATCGAAACCAAAAATGTGAACCAAACAAGCGAAATTGGGGTGAAAAGAAGAATCCAAAAATGCGAGAAATGAGAGAGTTGAGAAATATAGAAAAAAAAGAAAAAGGGGTGCAATTTGTCAACAATTTTTGACAGATATCCCGGGGCTCTTTTCCTCTTTTCGAAAAAAAAAGAGTATCTAGAGAAGAGTGGGACACTCTAAACCAGTGTAAAGCCCAGGGAGGGTGTCATAAAATATGTAAAGTTGTGTTCGACAATAAAAATAATTTTGAAATGTCAGTTTTTAATGGTGTTTTGATTGTTTTGTAGGTTGTAAAAGTTGGAAAAAGTGAAGCAAAACTAAAGAGAAACAACAAAAGCGTTCAAAAAGTTATCTAAAAATTGAAAAAAATTGCTGTTTCAAAAATTTCAGAAAAAATATGTACATTGTTTTTCTTTACTGTTGGTCGCGTATGCGTTTGAAAAAATTTAAAAAAAACGGGGGAAGCGGTCATTTCCAGTGTCGGAACTGGAGAATGTGTTCAGTTCAATATATGAAATTTCATCAAGACAAAACTAGAACAACCTTCAATAATTGCCCTGCAAGTTTAATAGAAATTTGAAGTTGCGTCCGAAAAATGACAATTTGAAATGTTATTTGAAATTTTTAATTACCGTAAAACCTCTAATAGAACGACACCCGGATCGTCCACTTTGAGCCTATATATCTCATTTTCTGTGAAAGATATCAAAAAGTGGTTAACTATTAGGTTGGCGGGAAAGTCTTTGTCACTCTGTTTGTTTAATCACTGTTCTCGTATATGGAGGCTGTGTATGATATCGACTCTAGTGAATAACAAGGTGATAAGAACCTTCCATATAAACAAGTCCCCATCTCCTTCCCTGCTCCTCATCTGTAATTGAAACGATATGTTTGTTCCCACTGCTATTCACATCAGACATGTTTTGATTTACCTCTTCCTATCTCACACCACGATGAAGGATTCGGAAACTTTCTTGAAGAATGTGTACAACACACATGCCCCTCACTACAATACTATTCGCAATTGGTTCCATCGTTTCGAAAAAGATGACTTCTCGCTCGATGAAAAGGATCGCTCTGGGAGACCCCGTGAGTTGGATTTGGACAAGCTGAAGCACGCATTGCAATCGGATCCATTTCAATCTAGCCGTGAACTAGCTGTCACATTCGGAGTTCACCATAGCACAGTCCTTGAAGGTTTGAAGTCTCTTGGAATGAGAAAACTTTTTGGTCGATTCATACCTCATCACCTGACTCAAGCCAACCTTGACCGCCGAGTCGACGATTCGATTACTCTTCTCACTCTCCACGCGGGCGATCGATGGCTGGACCGGCTAATAACCGGAGATGAGAAGTGGGTCTTCTACGATAATCACCACAGGAAATCCCATTGGGTTGGAGAATGAGAGAGCCCACAGGATGTCCCAAAACCCGACCTTCATCCGAAAAAAGTTATGCTCTCTGTGTGGTGGGGAGTGGACGGCCCCATCTACTGGGAACTTCTGACCGAGGGCAAAACAATAACTGGAGACCTCTACACTACTCAACTACCAAACCTCAAGAAAGCAGTCGACCGTTCGGCCCTGAAAGACAAGAAAGTGTACTATCAACATGATAACGCTCGCCCACATGTTTCGAAACAAGTGAAACAGGAGCTGATGGGATATGGATGGAATGTTCTCCCTCACCCCCCGTATTCTCCTGATCTTGCTCCTTCCGACTATTGGTTATTTGGCGATATGACACGTGCCTTCGAAGGAAGAAGCTTCAATTCCCGTGGAGCGGTCGAAGCGGCACTCAAACAATACTTTGCCTCACGCCCGGCTGGATTCTACCGCAATGGAATCCATAAATTGAGGGAACGTTGGAGACATGTTGTTGATAATGATGGACAATATAATTAATTATTCGGTTATTTTTTCTTTGAGAAATAAACTATTGAAAAAGTGACAAAGACTTTCCCGCCAACCTAATAGTAAAATGTTGCTGATATCCTGATAAACATTTTACTAGTTAACTACTTTTTGATATCTTTCAAAAGAAGTGAGATATATAGGCTCAAAGTGGACGATCCGGGTGTCGTTCTATTAGAGGTTTTACGGTAGTTTATTGCTTGTAAGCTGTAAAAATGTTGGTGATTTTAGTTGATGAACTATAGAAATTTGCGTAGTTGAAAGCGGTCCGGCCCGGGCAGATTGTGGGCCGGCTGATAACTTGTCCCTAGAACGAGGTATTCAGATTGTTTTTGTACCAAGTGATGGATTTCGACAGGTCCCATCACGCATGTATCATTCAGGCCTGACATCATTCCGGTAACATGCCGCAACGAATGACAATTTTCGACCAACTTGACAAAAATCAGATTTTTTGTCATTCAAACACGTTTTTCGACACGATATCGGCCCAGAATCTGCCTCTAATGGTATAGACGTGTTGGATCCTGTCGAGATCTATCATTTGGTCCAAAAAAAATACTTTACTGCTTCAGAAATTTCAGAAAATTCTTAATATTGTTTTTTCTTCAATAAGATGTGCAGCTTCGGTGTCACAAAATTGACAGTAAACGAGGAAATATCCAAATCTAACATTCAAAAAAAAGTAAATTCCTACAAAACTTCTCCCAAGGTTTCCCTGAAAATGGTCTTCTCAGATGCCTATTATTCCGTTTTCAATTTTACTGGTTCGGAGGTGCACCAAACGATATGGTCATAAGAGTTTTACAATATTCAGTGTTTCAGGATGTTCATATATTTTTCAAACTTTTATAATTATTCGGCTTCTCAAAAAACGGAAATACGCATACTTGTAATCCGGGCCTTTACCGGGCCTTCGCGGGCGCTGCCATAACTTCTTTCAGAATCAATGTTTTCGAACCAACTTAATCAGATATGATAGAGCTCCACGAGTACTACAAAACGGTATCATTTGGAATACTGTATCTTGTCTATGAACAGAGTTACAGAGCAAAAGGAACAAAAAAAGCAGGCCTGGCCCGGGCCTGCCGGCCCCTGCGAGAAAAGCCACTTTATGATCTGTAACTTTGTTCATAGATAAGATACAGTATTCCAAATAATACCTTTTTGTAGTACTCGTGGAGCTCTATCATATCTGATTTAGTTGGTTCGAAAATAATGATTCTGAAAGAAATTATGGCAGGGCCCGCCAAGGCCCGGCAAAGGCCCGGATTACAAGTATGGAAATACATAAAAACGGAAGTAAATGATTAATTTTTTTCAGAATGTTTAGAAAGTTTACAGTTTCAAGGGCAGAATTTAGCTTCTTTTGGATTTTTCTACTTATTACGTCACATACAGAGCAAGAATAAAAAAAATCATGTTACAATTAGTAAAATTCAGTATTTGATTGAGCCGAAGCCTTATCTGATGAACACATTGGTAGGTTATCAATGGTAGGAAAAGTGATAGAGAGACCAGGATTTTCGAGAAAGTTTCGGTAAAAATCAAACAAAGAAAAAATTGGAAGTTCAGAACTGAATATTTCAAAAATTGGACTCTGGAAGTTAAGACAATATTAACACATCCAGAAAAATTAGTTTCACAAATTTCCGAATGAATGAAAACATTTCTTGTTGTGAAAAAGAAAATCCTGTTTCACTATAATGAATTAAGCTTAACAAATAATTTGGGGTTGATAACATAGTGTATAACCGCAAAGGGATTTTTGGAGATTTGAGGTCGCGAAAAAGTTTCGAACTCTCAGTTTTGATAAATTATTTTGCGTTTTGGTGTTTTTAGGGTAAAGCAAGTACGAGAAACACAATGGTGATAAAATGAAAACAATACAACGTTCTTGAAGCAATTTTTTTTTCGAAATTTCTTTTTAAAAAATGAATTTAGCTTTCTTTAGCTCAAAACTATCCATTCGACTACCACATTCAAAAAACCAAACATATTTCTGCCCAATATATCTTTTAAAAATGGGGCGAAATGAGACGGGTCGTCGTTCCCTCTGTTGTCCATTTCACATATGTATCCAATCATATTTCCCATCCAATTATAGATTCCTTTCTATGTGTGTGTGTCCCGATACACTTTCACTTTTCAACTGACACCCTACTTCATCCAAAAAAAACGAAATGACTCACAATATTTCGGAGATGCAGTGGAGGAGACAGACAAACCAGAAGAGGTACTATCCGAGGATTTATACTGTCTGCGGCCAGGTGAAGTACAGTGTCACCGTTCTGGAAGAATTAAAGATTTGAAAAATTATAGAATTTCAACAAGAAATTAATGAATTGGGCAAGCCCGACCCAATCAAAAAAGATCCTCAAAAAGGGGCACAGTAATTAACAGTAGTTTCTGTTACATTATGAAGCCAAATAGCTTGAAAATCCCTGAAAATACAGCCTTTTCAGCTACAATTTTGGTTTTTTATTACTGTTTCAGAATTTCTGTGTTAATATCGCATTTTTTAAACATTCAGATTGATCGAAAATATAATTTTTTAGAATACCGTAAAACCTCTAATAGAACGACACCCGGATCGTCCACTTTGAGCCTAATATCTCATTTTC